TATTATATTATTTTTTATTAAAAATACGTGCGCATTTGACCTCCATCTTACCTGATGGAAAGTGATGATGAGGTCAACGATGTAGTATGCACACCTAAATAATGCCTATTCACTCTCGCCTTGAAAAGGTCCAAGTTACAGCGTTCGGGGAATACGTTCGCAAGCAGGGAATTCCACTCTCTAGCCGCTCGCCATATAAATGTGGAAGCGAAACGCTATGTGCGAATCCTGGGAATATCATCAACACAGGGGTGGAATCCCAGCCCACTTCTAGTCCCCCGATGATGGAAAGGGGAAGGCGGAATCAAATTATGCAATTCCATCGCACACTATCCGTGATATATCCTGAAGAATACCGATAAGCAGGCAACTTTACGGCGGTGTTCAAGGCTTTGCAGCTTCGCCTCAACTAATTCCGAGTCACCTTTATGCCTTTTGGCACGCTCGTCGATTGAATCCAAGATGGCCAGTTGGTATTTAGCAGAGCCATCCCAAAATAAGTTTAAATGTTACGAATGGGCTAATCATTCGCCTAAGTCGAATCCAAGCACAATCATTCGACTCGAGTCGTCGACCTGCATGCTGGTTTTGATTTAAATCGGAATCGACCGATCGGGTAGTCTCGAAATCAGATGGGTTTCTGAGCGAGAAGATGAACCTGATTCCTACTATTATATCTTTCTGATTTGTTAGTTAAATCATCTATTGTTCCGATTAAAAATGTCAAAAGTTTCCGATCGGCCAGTTGTGAATCGCAATGCGCTTTGACTAAGAAAAGTCGCAGTTTCCGATCGGCAGAAGCAATCAAAATTAAGCTGCTGCTCATTCAACATGTCCATATCATAATATCCCTGTCCCAGGGATGGTTACCTATCACTAGTCCGAAATGACGTTTTCCAGAAATAACGTTTGGTCGAATTTTCATACTCGAAAGTGATTTTGATAGGAAAATGTTTTTTCTTTTAAACCTAACTTAACCTAACCTAACCGAACCTAATCGTGTCTTTGCGATAAACATCCAACATATCCTGAAACATATCCTGGTTTCGTTATAATTCGGTTTTCGGATTTGAGAATGATAGGTTACCCCCAGGGATACTAACTTACTAACTAGTTGAATATCGAATTCATTCGCGCTATATGTAACTGTTGCTGACACAGGGACAGACTCCCAAGAACAGCCTGTAAATTGTCGTGATTCACGGAATTCAGTAAAAGCGGTAAAGCTTGAAGGTGACCCGCCCGCAGCCCTCATGGCCCGCTGCAAATGTTATTCAGGATCAGGCGTGGCATGCTGTAAAAAGAGTGCGTGCCCCCTGTCTACATGGCGTGTTACAAAAGTTATTTAACATCAGGCGTGGCTTGCTGTGAAAAGCTTTTGCGTCTGCTTGTCCCGGGCTCCGCCCGTATGATCTACTACTTCAGAAAAATTGTTTGTTCTATGGCGCTGAGAGTGTTAAATAATGCCCAACCACGTAGGTACCGAATAATACGCTCCTGCAGAGTATGAGTCTTGTATTGATAGGATATCTCCACTACGTGACAAACAACGTTGCATCTGATGTGCAACACATGTGTGGCGCCGGCGTCTACAGTTTATGCACTTGCACAAGGCAGGTGTGTTTTATTGCTGCTCATTGTTTATACTGAGTCCCCGGTAGCTCCACCGGTGGTATTGTAATCAAATTAAAAGTGATTTTACAATGATTTAATATAATTTTTTTTCGGATCTGAATAGCATGTATAAACACAAACACAGGTACTGCAACTGTTATGGACAGGCGTGTCGCTAACTTCAAGCGCACGACTCCTTAGTCCCTCACTTTGTATCGTAAAATAGTTAAGTGTGGATTTGGTGACGTATTACTGGATATGATCTGCTTAAGATTACGCTTTTTAAAGCGTATTGTCAGGGTCTGTACACGGGCGGCTTGTGGTTTAGCTGTTCGGAAAGGTCGCTGAATTCCCTTCGCGTCCAGTACAACAACGTGTTCAGGATGATGCTTAGTTGGTATAGCGTCTGGCACGGTATGCTGGAAGACTTCGGTTTGAATCCGGCCGGATATAAGGGATTTTTTCTGAGTGTTCGATCTTTGTATTAATAATTATGACAAATTAATGGAGTAATTTCACATAAAAAATAATTGAATATCAATTGAATAAAAATTTAAATACGTCAGTATTTGTTTCCGATATATTTGAATTGCATTCAACTGAAAAAAGGCCCGAAATGAAGAGAGAGAATCTCATTCTTCACCCCTCAAGCTCATCAAGCTAGTAACTTTAGGGGTTGCTCTTTGTAAATACACATTTAAATACATTACAATATTTAATTTAAACATCTTAGATTACGAATACCTGCAGGAGCTAAACGGGTCACTATCACGCATTTTTGTCATCCAAGTACGCAGAAGGTAATCTTGTTATGTATCCAGATTTGCATATAACACACATACCTAAAACGTCAGGTCTATGCACTTACATTCGCGCACCCCGGAACGCGTGACTCGTGCATTGCAACGTGACCGGTGCAAAACTCATCATTATAATTATAATTAAAAGACACTTTTAGACCTGTACCTAACTGCGGACGTACATAAAATTATATAGTTTATCTTTAAGAAATACCTTTGTGAAAATTTAATATTCACCATATTTTCTCGTCTTTACTTCATCTCCACTCCGGCCACTCTATATTTACCTTTAGTATAAAGTTTTTGTTTCACTAGAATAGTTTTAAACGGCAATTTTTGAATATCAATCTGAATTATGAAAACTTACCTTCTTCATGTCTCATGCTAGTGGTATCCTCGGCTTCCTCTTTGACTGCCTGGTCCCATTCGTTCCATTCTCCCCACTCCCAATCCCTCCCATGCGACTCTTGCGCATACTCGTACAACATTGGAAAATAACACATCTCTTGCTGTTGATTGTATTGTTGTTCTGTTAATTTTATATCTTGTGGTTCCATGTAATTTTGGAAATTTTCGTCAGTTTGCAAAAGAAAATTTGTTCGCAGATATTCCATTATTAAAAAAAATACAATTTCTAGTCAGATTGAAAGCAAAATATTGTCTCGTAGTAAAGAGATCATTCTCGAAAAAAAAAAAATTTGAAATAATAATTTTACATGGCCATTCTGCACTGCTTCCGCAAACTTTAAATCATTAAAATTCTAATTTATTATCACTTTAACTAACAACGCAACTAATAAGCGTGCTGCAGATTAAAGAAATTGATCACACGTCCGTATCTTGGAACTGAAAGATGAAATCTCAATCCTGTAGGTTTCAAACGATTCAATTTTTAAAGGCGTGGCCAGAGAGGGGGCGGGATTTAAGATCTTCAGTTGACCATGACGCTAAGTGCTGTTACAGCTGTGCATTAAATAGTCCACCGTGTTACACATGCTTGTCAAAATCGGGTCTATCTAATCATGGCGTAATTCTATCCCTCTACGAAGATTATGCGGCTACATTTCTAAAACCAAACCACATATTAATAATTTAAATATGTAATAATTAGGGCCCGGTTTAATATGTAATTACATATTTTTGATTTCAATAATCGTCTTTCTTTAATTTAGAACCAAAAATATTGTTTATTTTACATATTTTTCCATATTTACAGGCTTAGACCATATTTCTACACGAAACTTGCAATAATCTATACTGTTAATATTACGTGATATTTTATTGAATTAAAACAATAAAGATGAATTATAATTATGCTTCATTTTATAATGAAATGATGCATTTCCTACAAAAAAGTGAAAATGATCAAATTGTTAGTTTGGCTCTTATACTTAGGACTCATCAATTTATTAAACGAGTAATGTCAAATAAAATTAAATAGAAATGCCAATAAATAGCGACGCGCACGCAAAATAGGCGCCTTGACGCCGAGTTGCGGACACCAGCCCGTTACACCAAGTACCAAGTGAATAGCAACAGCTATATTTAAAATCATAGGATAAACAATATCGAAGAAGTACCAACGGCACAAATACAAACAATAATATCAATGTCTTATCATTTTAAATAAATCTTTCATGTCATATAAACACAGATCACATAACAAATCAAATAACTTTAATTCACACATAAACAATTAACAAACATAACTTACAATTAAATTTATCGTAACATGATATCGTAAAATCACATAGTTTAAGCAGCATTATAATAGCACTAACGTGAATTGGTCAATTAGCCGACGCTATGTATCTTTGTTGTATTTAATTTAATACCCTAATTAATTAAACCATTAGACACAATCCTGCGCCCGCGCTCGGAAGAACCAATGAATCGTATAACCAGGACGGTACTGCATAGTCGATTCGCAATTATTTGTAGATAAAGATCGTTCTCGATTATCACATCCTTCCGATGGATTGTAATTCGAGAAGGGTACGATACTAATTCATTATGGTATGCTCCACCGATAGGCACCGTTCTCTTATAATAACGCGTATATACTCATAGCCTCGCACTAGGGAACGGGTGCCATGGACACACACATAGACAACCACAAATTACACACAAACTCACGAGAGAAATAAATGCAGGCCATACAAATATTTCTCCCGGCCCGGGAATCGTACCTGGGACCTCTGAGTGGCAGTGCAGCATGGTAACCGTTCGGCCACGGAGGTAGTTTCTAATACAAAACATTTGTTCATACAATTTCATTATTAAACTCTCCCGGTGCTGTGCCGCATCCAGCCGCCACCTTTCTCAGGTTAACCGTCCATTATGCTGTCGGGCTCCTTATGGCCCATTTACCACGGGGCCAATTGACGAGACATTCCACAAAGCCAAGCCAGTAAGCCAGTCTAGTGAAAAGTGCGAAATTCGTAACGTCCTTCTCCACTACAGCCAGTTTTACGATAAGTTTCATTAAGATTATTTACTAACCGTCAAGCCAAACTAGAGGAGTGGCTCAGGACGTTAATTCCCAGTAGTTCCATGTACTTAGTTCCGCGTGGAACAAATGTCATATTTATTCCCATTAGTTCCATGTAATTAATTTTAAACTATTTTTACACCTGACCTTTCTTCCTTAATTAAATGCCTACGTGGCCGAACGGTTACCATACCGGACTGCCACGCAGAGGTCCCCGGGTTCGACTCCCGGGCCGGGAGAAATATTTGTATGGCCTACATTTATATCTCTCGTGAGTTTGGGTGTAATTTGTGGTTGTCTATGTGTGTGTCCATGGCACCCGCGACACAGGGTTTCCCTAATTTGTGGCTATGTTGAGTGTGTGTGTGTGTGTGTGCGTTCCTCATCAGATCTTTAAAAGTTCACTAATTTCCATTTCCAAGATGGACAAATATTTTGAAGAGCGTAAATGCAAAACATACGATAACAAAACATCGTTTTATTTTTACTTGTTCACATAATTGTGACTTTTTCATTGAAAAAACAAAACCCAAAAAGTTTGCTTATCGGCTTTTTTCGATTTCCATGAGATTCCCTCATTGACTTACAAATAAATGAACGACGTGTCTAATACAAAAACCACGAAAAAAAATGTCCCAAATCAACCTATTTAAACGTAGTGACATGTAACGGAATATGAAAAAGCTAAAACGTTGAATTTAAATTGTAATGTCATCGCAGTACTGTCTAATTTTGCTTGCTTCGCTGTCAGTCGAACAAACGAAGACTAAAGCGTGAATGACGCTCTGTATACGATTTTAACGCCCTATAAGTTCGGACACTTTTTAGCGCGGACCCAACGTCCATATAATTGTAAGTCAATGGATTCCCTCGTGAGATTCTGACTTCTTGGTGACAATGGGACTGTTACAGACTCATTTGTACATTTTTTTCTGGTTCTCATGGTGACGGTGATTGGTTGATTATATGCTTAAACTAGTTTATTTTTTTCTATCCTCTAAGATTACATGCAAATTACATGTCGCACATGCAAACTAACATAGTAATATCTCCAAATCGCTTTAATTTATATTAACATTACCTATCTAGTTTCAAAGCCACGGTGTTGTCCTGTCACTTTGAAATTAAATCGTATATGAATGACACATCCATATAGCGCAATTTTGGAGATAAATTATTAATATAACGCGATTTCGAGATAAAGTATAATATAACGCAATTTTTGAGATAATACTATGTTAGTTGTCAAGTGCGATGTATTGTGTCAAGTGAAAAGTCCACTTTTATTTGCTGAAAGTAATTAGTAATTTGTTATATGAAACGAGCCAGAACAGCATGAGGGACCACAAACAAAACAAAAGAAGAATTTTCAAAATCGGTGCACAATTGATGGAGATATTGGTGAATGCACGAACATGCCTATAAAATTTGAGGATATCCTTCGATTTTCATGGGATCCCCTCATCAGATTCTGATTTGGTGACAATGAAACCACCACGAGAGTGCACCCTTTCAAACAAAAGAATTTTCAAAATCGGTCCACAGTTGACGGAGATATCTGAACACATACATAAAACAACCTGCTCCTTTTCTTGAAGTCCGTTAATAAAAACACTATCGGCTCCCGTGCAGAATTTGAAAGCAAGATAAAAATATCATAATTTCACACAAGGCCATTACATGAGCCAATTCAATGCACGTGTGGTGGGTGAAGGTATAGGCCCGAAAATTAGAAGTCGTTCTAATTTACTGTGTTGTCTTTATCACTGGTCTAGAGACAGTCCATAATGGATTGTCTCTACTTATTTACACGACCCAATAATAACTTGACTTAATGGACTGGTTCGTCGACTGGCCCCGTCTAAACGGTCCTTTACATTACGTCTGTCTTAACGTAGTCGCTACTCTAGGACAAGTCTGCTCGGCATCAGCCCTCCTGCAGGCAAGTCCGGTTAGTGCATCGAGTATAACAGAAAAAGAGACAGAATGTCGTTTAATTTGTTTGTAAACTATTCTGCCAAACCATTCCGGTGACTTCGTTGGCCAGCCCGAATTCGAAACAATTGACGAGTGTCGTCAATTGTTTCACTTTAAATTGACCATTTTAACTTGAGCTTTGTTATAATGGATGAAAATGAAAAATTACATATTTAATTACCGATGAAATGCGATTCTGTTTATTTTGTAATTAGATGTGCTGTTTTTCCCACACCACCAAATGGAACAGCCCTCATTGTTAGAGATATTATCTTTATTACAATAAATATACACACAGGTCAGTTGTTGTCGCTATACTATTTCAGTTTTCTAATTTTAGATTTCAGTGCAAACGAGAGTTGATATTTAAAAGTGATCTAAGGCCCATTTGCCTGATGATTTGAGAGATGAGTCTCTGTTTCTGGTTATATAGTCGATGACTTAGTGTCACCCGGCAAGTCGCCATTTCAATAGTGAGACTACTTGTACGTCACTGATGTTTATCGGTTTTTTCAGCAATTCTCCAAGCGTGTGAACGGAGGGCAAAGGGTCGCCCCAGGGGAATCACTGAGGGGTCCCTTGGCGACAATGTCAACAAATTAAGTTCACACTTAAATCAACAATTACGTTTTCTGTCGTCCGCTTTCAAAAGAAGGCATTAACGATTTGTTTTTTGTCGTATAATATATATTTTATGCAATCGTTGCATAATGAGGATTCTTAGAGAGGAATACTGTTAAGCCACGAGGTTTTGCTGAGTGGTCTAAGTACCTAATAGTTACGACGAGATTTTAAGACCTGAATATATATTACAATACTTCTTCTGCGTGTAAATAAAATAATGAAACAAAATCAACACTTAATGTATATTTTATTAACAATCCATGACAAAATGAAAGCTAACAAATGCTATAAAACAAAAAACCAGACAATTTTTTTTTAATAAAAAGTTTACGACCCGGTTGCAAGACCTTTAAACCAATTAAAACAGTCAGCGTCTTGATTTTTTTAATACAAAATATACAAAACAAATTATGTACATGTGACATTTTATAACTCTCCTAATCAAGAGTCTATACAACCTCAAATGGCTTTGGTTGATCCCGCATAACAGTGAAAGTGTGGAATCGATCACTGGAAAAAATATATAGTAAAATTGAGGTTATACACTTATTACTATACAGTGTGAAAATACAATTCCTAATAATTTTCACGATAGAAAAAACCACAAATTTACCTCCAAATTTTCTTGTGAAAAGTGATAATTTTGAATGATAATAATAATTATTATTATAACGCGCTCACTCATTACCCCGCACTAAGAAACCCTGTATCGCGGGTGTCATGGACACACACATAGACCCGCAAATTACACCCAAACTCACGAGAGAAATAAATGTAGGCCAAATATTTCTCCCGGCCCGGGAATCGAACCCGGGACCTCTGCGTGGCAATTCAGCATGGTAAACGTTCGGCCGCTGAGACAGTTAAGTTAAAAAATTGTATTTTAAAACGAAATAAACATTCGAACTTCTACACTATCGTAAAAGTTCATATGTCATATAATTACGTCTGTATTCTTTCGACACGTACCACGAGAGTTAAAAAAGAAATAACAAAAATAATAAGGATCTTCACCTCCTCACAGCTGCCAAAACATATAGGGGAACGCACGCGCACAAGAGCGAATGACATATTAATTAGATTTTTTAAGTATCACACTGCTTCATATCTACGTAGATTGTTTATCTGATGTTATTTTTTCCTCGGTGAGCCTGTTATGTATCCAGATATGTACTACTGTAACATCAGGTCAACACACTTGCATTCGCAGCAGAAACATGCGCCCCGTGCCCAACGTGACCGCTGACAAAATTATTATTTTA